TTTTTTTAGAAAAAAACCCAAAAAAAAATTTTGAAATTTTAAAAAAAAAAAAAAAAAAAAAAAAAACATGTAGGTGACATGCGAGTTAAAGGAGCTCTGGTCAAATACGATGTATATTAAACGTTCTGGACAAATTTGTGCCTGAAAATTAACATTCACTGAATGCACTGTTTCTGTGGCAGTGTTTCCCAAGCCTGCTTCTCAAGTACCGCTGCCCTGCATGTTTTAGATGTGTCTCTGTTCTGTTGCAGCACACCTGATCCATATGACTGACCTTCTCTGCAGCTGCCAAGTGTTGCAGAAACCTGTTAATCACCCGTTCTTTTAAGCCAGGTGTTCAGGAGCACAGAGACACCTAAAACATGCCACCCAGGGGTACTTGAGGACCAAGTCTGGGAACCACAACTCTATGGTATAACATAGTATAGTGCTGTGGTGGGGGGGGGGCAGAAAAGCTGGTTCAAAAGTTTGGAAGAAAACCTCTTAGAGGCAGCAAAGGATTCAGGACAAGAGCAGAGGTGAAGTTTCCAGCAAGTGAAAGACTAGAAATGCATCCAGAGCTACAGGTGGTTTAGATCAGGGGTGATCAATCCCAGTCCTCCAGAGCCAATGACCTGCAACATTTAGGTGCGTCTCTACATCAACACACGAGTCAAATAATCAGGTTAGCAGAACTGTGGAGAACTTGAGGAGGTCTATTGGACCAGGGACACGTCTAAAAGCGCTGTGACAATCCAGAGCCCTTGAGGACTGGAGTCAGATCCCCCTGGTTTAAATCAATACTTACTCTCAAACTAAAATGGTCTATTCAAAGTCAAGATCTTAACTGTGAATCGGCAGCAAGAATAGTAAACTAATGTTTAGAAATGTTCCCCCATCTAAGTGGAAATTCTTCATATTTTTTTTATTTAAAAAGTAAAATGTAAATGATGTAATATCTTTTTCCTGCTTCAAAGTTATGCTCTACGTTGCCTTAGCCTATCATGAAAATCCCTGAAAAATAAACTGAAGTTTGTGACTGTATCATAATAAAACGAAAGTTACGTATGTAACTACGGTTCTATGAATCCCGGATGACCGCCAGAGATTCTCTGTCACTCAGAATCCTTGCGTTTCGTGAGAAGATTCTGTAGGAACAGAGCCTCGGATGACGTCATGCTATATAGCCTCTGACTGATCATCCGATGTGTCACAGGTGTGACTCTGTTGACATTATTGCTCGAACAGCGCATGCACGAAAGGAACATTCAGTGCTTTCAG